AAAAAAAAAAAAAAAAAGTAATGGAGCTAAACAAATTGGAGTAGAAAGATGAAAACAAGTTATAAACGTTCTGAAAGCCTGGTGCTGGTAGTTCATGCCCAGGTGCTCAGGAGGCTGAGATGTAAGGATCGCGGTTCAAAGACAGCCCGGGCAGGAAAGTTCATGAGACTCTACCTCAAATAAACCACCAGAAAACCGGAAGTGGCTCTGCGGTAGAGCGATCGCCTTGAACTAAAAAGCTGAGTGACAGCTTTCAGGCCCAGAGTTCAAGCCCCATGACTAACAAAAATAAATAAAGCTAGCTCAGGCAAGAAAGTCTAAAACTGGAAGTGGGTCTGTGGCTCAAAGTGTTAAAAGAGTACTTACTAACCTTGCGTGAAAGAGCTTAATCACAGTGCCCAGGCCCTGAGTTGAGGCCCTACAACTGACCCCCCAAAAATAAAAAAATTCTGAAAAAGTGGTTAATAAAGGAGAGTTAGTTAGTGCCAAGTGTAATCCCAACATTCAGAAGGCAGAGGCAGAAATATTTTAAGATGGAGGCTAATCTGGGTTACATAGCCAAAGACTGTCAACATAATAAAACAAAAAGGCTGAGTAAGTATTAAAGGACGTTACAGGAATATAGCAAGTAAAGCAGCTTTCTATTAGTAGATGATAGGCCCAGATACTTGGAAGGGTTTAACCTCAGTCATAAGAAGCATGCAAATAAAAACCAAGATAAGATATAACTTCTTTGGTCTGTCTGACTTTGGCCAGTTTGGGGACCTTGATATCTATTTTTGTTTGTTTGTTTTTTGGGTCCGGTAGTGGGGCCTGAACTCTGGGCCTGGGCGCTGTCCCTCAGCTCTTCAGCTCAAGACTAGTGCTCTACCACTTGAGCCACAGCACCACTTCCAACTTTTTTCTTTTTGCTTATGTGGTGCTGAGGAATTGAACCCAGGGCCTTATGCATGCAAGGCAAGCGCTCTACCACTGAGCCACCTTCCCAGCCCCTGGAAAAACATTTTCAAACAGCAAATGTAAGTAGGCTAGCAATATATTATAAACAAGGTAAACTCAGAAGATAGAGCCAGGCCCTGGTGGCTCATACCTGTGATCCTAGCTACTCAGGAGGCTGAGATCTGAGGGTTGTGGCCCAAAGCCACCCCAGACAGGAAAGTCTATGAGATGCTTACCTCCAGTTAACTACCAAAAAGCCAAAAGTAGAGCTGTAGCTCAAATGTTAAAGCACTAGTCTTTTTTTTTTTTTTGCCAGTGCCAGGGCTTGAACTAAGGGCCTCAGCATTGTCCCTGAGCTGCTTTCTTGCTCTCTTGCTCAAGGCTAGCATAGAGCACTAGTCTTGAGTACAGAAGCTTGGGAACAGATCTCAAGCCCCGAGTTCAAGCTCCAGGATACATACATAGAAAATGAAGTAGAAGATAGCATTTGTAAACTGGTACAGCGTAGATTTCTTTTTTTTTTTTTTTCTTTATTAGTGCTCTCCACTTTTTGAGCCATAGCTCCACTTTTGGTTTCTGGTGGTTAATTGGATATAAGAATATTGTGGGTTGCTGGGCGCCAGTGGATCATGCCTGTAATCCTAGCTACTCAGGAGGCTGAAATCTGAGGATCGTGGTTCAAAGTCAGCCTGAGCAGGAAAGTGCATGAGACTCTTACTTCCAATAAACCACTCAGAAAAATGGAAGTGGCGCTGTGGGTCAAGAGGTAGAGCGCTTGCCTTGAGCTGCCCAGGCCCAGAGTTCAAGCCCCACGACCGGCCCCCCCTCCCCCCCAAAAAATAGAATTTTCTTTTCCTTAGACAACAAAGCCTAAAGCCATACTGGGTTTAACAACTAAATGTATTAATGTAATGAGATATTTGAACTTGGGTACTTAGATTTCTAACAAGAGGTTGGTTTTGGTCAGAGTTTGGGAGGTTGGAATGCTTGACACTGACATTGGGTTGGCTCTGGTAATAGCCTCATGATGGGTGACAATTACAGATGGAGAGAACATATTACCAGACAGGAAGCCAAAGAGTGATTCAGGTATAGACGTCAGGTTTGTACTTCTAATAGTAAGTTTGCTGTTGCAAGTTCAGGATCCCTGAGAATTATGTTAACATTCTTTTTTTGTTGTTTTGTAATTTAGTTATTACTAAGGTGTTTGTACAGATGGCTTACCATTTCATAAGTCAGGTAATGGGTATTCTTTTTTTTTTCAAGAATATCTGCACAAAGACTTGCCCACCTGAATAAATGCTTAATGAATTTTAAGCTAGGGAATTTCAGCTATCAGAAAAACCCTCTGAAATTGGGAGAACTTCAAGGAAATCACTTCACTGTTGTTCTCAGGTAAATAACTGTAGGTAGGAAGGAATTCAGGGGAGTGTGTGGGGGTGAAGGATTGCTAGGTTACCTTGAGTTACTTGTTAAGCAGGTGCAGGTGCAACTTGTTAATCAGTGCACTCTGACAGGAGGGACAGTGCAAGAAGTCAGAACAGGGCCTGAGGGCACTAGGAGAGCAAATATGTGCATTTATTTGTACTGAAAAACAGTCTACCATCCCCCCTCCTCCACCCAGAAGCTTAGCAAGACATTCAGAAGAACATCTTCCAATAAGATAAGGAGCCTAAAGTCTCATTTATATAAGGTACCTAGAACAGACAAATTCACCAAAAATAACTTAGAGGTTACTCTTTAATGTGTACAAAAATTGCAGTTTGAGAAGCAGATAGTGGTAAAAGTTGTGAAACATTATACTTACTTACTGCCCTTAAGTTATATGATTGAAAATAACTAAAATAGTAAATTTATTTAATAAATACATCCCAAATAAACAGAGCCCTCAGGAGGTAGAGAAAAAGCTGCAAAGAGAGATATGGAAGCCAAGCCATAGGGTGTACACTTAGGGTGTACAACTCCAAACGTGTTTGACTGTAAACTTTTGTCGCTGGATGTTTGGGCCTGGCAGAAACATAACAGGAACTGACGACCAAGTACAACAAGCTATGAACTCACTCAGGGAGATCGGATTTATTAACTACTATGGAATGCAAAGATTTGGAACTACAGCTGTTCCTACATATCAAGTTGGAAGGTTGGTATTTCATTTTATAACTTTTTCTAAAAGTGGCCTCAAAAAAGAAACAAGGTTTTTGTTGGTGCATTCATTATATCTAGAGTCTCTTATGCGCAGGGCGGATGAACTACTAATTCCCATCCTCCTTTAAAGTTTTGTTCTGTTTTATGGAAATGTGTTCATGGGTTAAAAAAAAAATCGCCAGAGAGCTGGGTGCTGGTGGCTCACATCTGTAATCTAACTACTCAGGTGGCTGAGGTCTGAGGATTGCACTTCAAAGCCAGCCAGGCTGGAAAGTCTGAGACTCTTAATCTCCAATAAAACTACTCAGAAAAAGCTGGACGTGGTACTGTGGCTCAAGTAGTAGAGCACTAGCCTCAAGCAAAATAATTCAGAGTCAGGACCCATGCCCTGAGTTCAAGCCCCATGATTACCCAGAAAAAAAAATCAGATTTCAAAAAGATCTGACCTAAAAAGTTTTCTTCTATCCCTAACAGCCCTCCAAAGATTATTAATAAAACATAAGTCTTGGCTCAGTAAGTGACACAGAATTCAATGATTAAATAAGACCGAAGAGTAGCTAGACTTCAGATGATAGGCTGTATAATATCTAACTGCTCCCACTCTTTGAAGAAATTACTGTCTTTATGAGATATGCAAAACAAATGGTGGAAGTGGCCAGCCACCAAGGTACAGACAGCTTCTGTCTGGGCATGATGGTTGGAGATCAAGGCATCATCTCCAGAGCCCGAATACATCTTGAGGATGTGCAGTAGAGAAATGAGAGCAGTCTGACTCTGGAAGCTGAAGAGTGCATTTTGTCGCTTACCTTTTGCTAGGCTCTGGTGGCTCATGTCTATAATTTTAACTGCTTGGGAGGCTAAGATCTAAGGATTGTGGTTCAAGGCCAACCCAAGCAGGAAAGTCTGTGAGGCTTATAGTTAACCATCAGAAAACCAGAAGTGAAGTTGTGGCTCAGAGAGGTAGAGCACTAGCCTTGAAGAGAAAAGCTCACTCAAAGTACCAGGCCCAGTTCAAGCCTCATGACTGAGCAAAAAAATAAATAAATAAACCTCAAAAAATAACAAAAGACCCCTTTGACTTCTGTAGATATTCTGTAGATATGTAACAACTTACGGCATAACATGGTAGTCCTTATATTGTTACAAGTGTTTTATATAAAGACAGTATGTCCTTAATTTTACTATATTTTTTAAATCCTTTTGGCATATACATTTGAAATTAGTGTCATAGTTTTTCTGCTTATCTCCAAGTTTAATAATATGATGTAATTTGTTGACTGTTCAAAGATTTGGGCGTATAAAGTTTATCTTAATGGAAAATTACTGTTAATTTTAGAGCTATTCTACAAAATTCCTGGACAGAAGTCATGGATTTAATACTGAAACCCCGTCCAGGAGGTGAGAATAAAATTTGTGCTAAAAAAACAAATAGAATGTATAGCTGTATCTTTGTGGAACCAAATTGATCATTTTGGGGCTTTGGGGAGGGTTTTGTTCATGGTTTTTGTTCTGGTATTAGAGCTTGAATTTAGGGCCTGGGCATTGTCTCTGAGCTTTTTCATTCAATACCACTTGAATCAAGGATCCACTTCAGCATTTTTTTTTAATGGAAAATTAGCAGATCTCAGTCTCCTGAGCATGAGCCACCAGCACCCAGCTGTGAAGTCACTTTAAATAAAAAGTATTTGTGCTGAGCTGGGACATGGTTCCTGTGATAGAGTATCTGTTAGCAAGCATAATGTCCTGAGTTCAAACCTTAATAGAGAAATAACAACAAAAAAAGTATTTGTGCAGATTGGAATAGTTTCTACATTAGAATTCTAAGTAGTTTATTTTTCACATATTTTATGGATAGATTTGAGACTATATCCTGACTTTAGCACTTTTGCTCATCTAATGTATTAATTCAAAAGTGAATTAATATTAAATTAATTTCTCTTTTTTCACTACTAAGTTACTTAATGCATGAATGCTATATAAAATCTTGGCAAAACTTAAGAATTTTTTATTTTCTTTAAAAACAATTTGTGTGCTAGTACGGGGGCTTGAACTCAGGGCTTTTCAGAAACTCACTTGACTTTTTAAATCAAGGCTGGTGTGTACTACCACTGAAGCCATACCCCCACTCCCAACCCTTGAGTTTTTTTGTTTTTGTTTTTGCTGGTCATGGGTCCTGAACTCTGGGCCTGGGCGCTGTCCCTCCGCTCTTCAGCTCAAGGCTAGCACTCTACCACTTGAGCCACAGTGTGACTTCTGGCTTTTTCTGCTTATGTGGTGCTGAGGAATCAAACCCAGGGCCTCATGCAGGCAAGGCAAGCACTCTACCACTGAGCCACCTTCCCAGCCCCCCCTTGAATTTTTAATGAATTCACTAAACTTTTTCTAGAAAGTATCTCTAGAGCCATATATATAAAAGAGATTTAACAACTACTTTGTCAAAATAATAATATTTTCCGAGTGACAGTGGTTAACACTAGTGGAAGATCACTGATTAAAGCCAGCCCAAGCAGGAAAGTCCACAAGATTCAATCTCTAGTTAACTAGCAAAGCCAGGCCAGAGGCATGGTTCAAATAGTGTACTTGCTGAGCAAGCAAGTACAAAGACCTTAGGTCTAACCCCATTTCTGTCCAAAATAATAATAATAATGATGATGATAATGATAATCACTTTGTGTAACTATCCATTTGCAGGGTAGATAGACCAAATTATCTAATTTTAAGAAAAATAACCAATTAAACGGTATACTGGGAGAAGAACAGTCATATCAAGTTTTTCTCTTATGTTTAATTAGCTGTGGTGACAATGAACAGTAAATAGCTTTCATTGTTGATATAGAGTGCTAGCTAGCATGCTGGGAAAGTCATAGTCGTGTGGTTTCTTAGTCTTCATGTTTTCACTTTCATATTATCAGGTGAAGGAACTATTCTTCATAGTCCCTTAATTACCAATACTACTTTAAAATTTTGTGTTTATTATGAAACATGTTGAAATTGTCTATTGGATAAATTGTTTAATTGTAGCTTTTTTTCCTCTCCAGCTGAAAAGGGGTACTTGGTTAAATGCAGGGAAGAATGGGCGAAGACCAAAGACCCAGCTGCTGCCCTCAGAAAGCTACCTGTCAAAAGGTGTGTGGAAGGGCAGCTGCTTCGAGGACTTTCAAAGTATGGAATGAAGAATATAGTCTCTGCATTTGGCATAGTGAGTGCGTTTTGTGAAGTCAGGCAATTATTTGAGGTGGTTTAATAACTTTTTAAACTTTATCTTGGAAGATTTTGCTAAACTTTGAAAGAACAAAAGTTGAATAAGGTCTTGTGGATGTCTTTAGGAAATTTTCCTTGCATGATCCTTGTTCAGACCCTGAATGCTGAGGAGCAGGTGAATGTGGGTAATGTTGGCATGATGAGCATTGACAGTACCAGCAAAGGGCCAATATGGAAAGTATGATCTCCAGTGGGAATTTATTGTACTATAAGACATTAAAGATCTATTGTACAGTCATTAAGTCTTCCAAGGAAGAGAGCTGGCAAGTAAACAGTGTAAATAGTTGCATGTGTTGTTTCAGCAAGGTGATTAAGAGTGGGTATCACATTGGCAAGAGTAGCTATACCACCGTATTCATATGTGTAACCGAGGATACATTGAAGTTTAACCTTAAAACATCTTAGTTATTCTTCCCTAGCCTCTCCAATAAAAACAAAAACCTAAAACAAGAAAGGATTCATGCTGTAAACAATCAGTTGTCACTTAAAGCCCAGAGTTCAAGCCCCACGACCTACCAAAAAAAAAAAAACAGTTGTCACTTAATTATTCTTCTGTAGAACTATGGAAGAGAAAACACTGTTGACTCTAATTGTATTGTAAATTCCATGAATTTCAATTGATTTCAGGTGTAAATTCCATACCATTTGATTTATTTGCATGGACATAAGCTTTGTGGGTGTGAAATGTAAATTGTTGCTACTAATGACAGTTAATACAGTTTGAGGTGTCTTCATCTAATGTTTCCATTTAATACTGTGTATTAAATTTATTTAATACAGTTCAACTTAAACTAAGTTAAATTTAGCTTAACGTGTTCAATTTAGTATCCTGTCAGTTACTGTCTGCAGGTTATTACACATTTAATGTATGAATTTCTTATACTAAGTTCACCACTCAATAAGCAGGATACCTGGGGAAGTACAGGTTTTAATATTTAGACTATATTTTTCTTTCCCTTCAGATACCAAGAAATAATCGCTTAATGTATATTCATAGCTATCAAAGCTATGTGTGGAATAACATGGTGAGCAAGAGGATAGAAGACTATGGGCTGAAACCTGTTCCAGGGGACCTTGTTCTCAAAGGAGGTAAAAATGGCATAGACTGTTCAAACAAACGTAGATTCAGGTTTTTGACGCAAGTAGCTTTAAAAGCTAGCCTGGCTGGATTAGTACTTTACCAAGTTACCCTTCCAACTCAAGAAATACTTTTAAATATGTTATGAACGCTACTAAATCTTTAATTCTAGTTTCTTCTGTGGAGTAGAAAAGACAAAAGAGTATATTTTCCAACTTAGTTTCTTTTAGTTTCCTAGGCCGTTGAATATACTCTTTTTTGTTATTGTTGTTGTTGTTTGTTTTTGCCGGTCATGGGGCCTGAACTCTGGGCCTAGATGCTGTCCCTCAGCTCCTCAGCTCAAAGCTAGCGCTCTACAACTTAAGCCACAGCACCACTTCCGGCTTTTTTTTGCTGTAGTGCTGCGGAATCGAACCCAGGGCCTCATGCAGACAAGGCAAGCACTCTACCAATGAGCCACCTTCCCAGCCCTGAATATACTCTTTGACTTGCTTGTACATATATAATTTTTAGCACCTGAGTTTATGAAAATAATGCTGTTTTTCTTCACTTACTGTTTTACTTATGGATTTGCAGCCACAGCCACCTATATTGAGGAGGAAGATGTTAATAATTACTCAATCCATGATGTGGTCATGCCTTTGCCTGGCTTCGATGTTATCTATCCAAAGCATAAAAGTAAGTTCCCCATATGGACAAAATAGTTACAAATCTAACATAGTAACCTACTGGAAACCAAAAGTGAAGAGAAGGAAAAAAATTAGTACTGTGAATATTCATCACGCTTGAGATATTTAGATATGAAACATACATAAACCATAGTTATTTGTGAAAGTCTTCCAGAAAAGAATGCATTTAGATGGATAATTTGAATTAAGAAACTAAGCCAGACATCAATGACTCTCATATCTATATAATCCTTACTACTCAGTCTGAGACCTGAAGGATTGAAGTTCAAAACCAACCCAGGCCAAAAAAATTCCATGAAACTCCATATCCAAAATATCCAGAAAAATGCTAGTTGGGGGCCTGGTTCAAGTGCTATAGTACTAGCTATGAGCAAACAAGCCCCAATACTGGCAATAAGAAACTAGCTGGGTGCTCTGCGTTGGTGGCTCACGCCTGTAATCCTAGCTACTCAGGAGGCTGAGATCTGAGGATCGTGGTTCAAGGCCAGCCTGGGCAGGAAAGTCCATGAAACTCTTATTTCCAGTAAACAACCAGAAAACCAGAGTGGTGCTGTAGCTCAAGTGATAGAGCTCTAGTCTTGAGCTGAAGAGCTGAGGGACAGAGCTCAGGCCCAGAGTTCAAGCCCGACAACTGACAAAAAAGAAAAAAAAACTAGCTGTACTTGTAATCCCAGCTATATTAGAAGAGTGAGACCATCCTTAATAACATAGTGAGACTGTGTCAAAATGACAATCCAGGTCGGTGTATCACGCCTGTAATTTTAGCTACTCTTACCTGAGATCTGAAGATTGTGGTTCAAAGCCAGCCCAGGCAGGAAAGTCCGTGGGAGTCTTATCTCCAATAAACTACTCAGAAAAAGCAGGAATTGGCACTGTGGTTCAAATGTAGAACATTAGCCTTGAGCACAAAAGAAGCTCAGGGACAGCACCCGGGCCCTGAGTTCAAGCCCCACCCAGCACTAGCAAAACAAACAAACAAAAAAACCCAGCTTGGCCCCAGTAGCTTATGTCTATAATGCTAAGTACTTAAGAGGCTGAGGTCTCCATGATCATGGCTTAAAGCCAGCCTAAGCAAAAAAAGTCAGTGAGACTCCATTTCCAAAATAAGTAGCAAAAGAGTGAGGTTGAAGTACAGATTTGGATCAAGTGGTAGAGTGCCAGCTATGATTGAAAAAGCCAAGCAAGAACTTGAACTTGAGACTTACGTAAATAATTGGTTCATATATGGTAGAAAAGTAAACTTTTATGTAAGAATCCACACACTGTCTTGGAAATAACCAGAGCAAAAAAAAAAAAAAAAAAGGATGTGTGGCTCAGTAGTAGAGTACCTAATTAGCAAGCACAAGACCCTGAATTCAAACCTCAGTATGAGTTCAAACCTCAGTACTGCAGGGAAAAAAAGAAGTGAAAAAAATAAAAATGGAAAGTTTTGACTCTGTTACACTAGGCCAGATAAAAGGTTTGGTGGAAGAAATGTCAAAGAAGAACAGTCAAGGAAGCCAAAATACATAGGTCTAATGAAGCTATAGCTTGAAGGTCCAATACTTAGGAATGCATGTTAGAGAACAAGTAATGGCTATGTTCCAAACCAGTCAATAGAAATTATAAGAAAACATATTCCTGCTTAAGATAGGAGAATTGTCTAATGATCATATGCCTTATAAAGTAGTTCCCCTTAAATAACATGTAAGCTAATATTAGAAAGATGTCTAGCCAGATGCCAGTGGCTCATGCCTATAATAGTAGCTACTCAGGAGGCTGAGATCTGAGGATCAAAGTTTAAAGCTAGCTCGAGCAGGAAGTCCGTGAGACTCGTCTCTAATTACCAAAAATTGGAAATGGAGTTATGGCTCAAAGTAGTAGATCACTAGTTTTGCGTTAAAATCTTAAGGACAAGGCTGGGAAGGTGGCTTACTGGTAGAGCGCTTGCCTTGCATGCCTGTAGCCCTGGGTTCAATTCCTCAGCACCACATAAGCAAAAAGAAAAAAGCCGGGAGTGGCGCTGTGGCTCAAGTGGTAGAGTGCTAGCCTTGAGCTGAAGAGCTGAGGGACAGTGCCCAGGCCCAGAGTTCAGGCCCCACGACCGGACCCCCCCCAAAAAAAAAATCTTAGGGACAGTGCCCAGTACCAAAGCCCCAGGACCTACAACAAAGAAGAAAGATATCTATTGTTAAAAAAAAAAGATTGGGGCTGGGAATGTGGCTTAGTGGTAGAGTGCTTGCCTAGCATGTATGAAGCCCTGGGTTCGATTCCTTGGTACAACATAAACAGAAAAACCAGAGTTGCTGTGGCTTAAGTGATAGAGTGCTAACCTTGAACAAAAGTAGTTCAGGCCCTGAGTACAAGCCCTAGGACTAGCAAAAACAAAAGTTTGTATGTTATATATGAGGTTAAACGAAGTGATCCTCTAAGGCCTCTTATCTGTAACTACCCTTCCATAGAGTGTTTGAAGCCTCTGCATGTGGTCTCCTAATTCTGAGTCCATATAAATAATAGTTTAGTAACTCAGGGTGAAATGACATTTTATAGTTAGCTTGGAACTATAACACTTCAGATCCTATGGGTGATTCCAAAGATAACTAAGAAATTGGCCAAACCAAAGTGTGGCTTAGTTACTAAATATCTAAATTTTCCAGAGAACAGACTGGATTATAAATTAGGGTAACTGATTTTCTTAAGTATAGTCTAATTGAATTTACATGTTACGTTGTTTCTGTGTAGTTCAAGCTGGCAAGCTTCACTAATGTTTTGTATTTTATATTAGTTAGTGAAGCCTACAGGGAAATGCTTACAGCAGACAATCTTGATATTGACAACATGAGACATAAAATTCGAGATTATTCCTTATCCGGGGCCTACCGAAAGATAATTATCCGTCCTCAGAATGTCAGCTGGTGAGTAATAGTCTGGAATGTTATAGAATAGAATCTATGGGACGTTGGTGGCTCACACCTGTAATCCTAGTCGCTCAGGAGGCTGAGATTTGAGGATTGTGGTTTGAAGCCAGCCAGTCAGGAAAGTCTGTAAGACTCTTTATTTCCATTTAATCACCAAAAAGCAAGTAGTGGAACTGTGGCTCAAGTGGTAGAGTCTTGAGCACAAAAGCTTACATACAGCACCTGAATTCAAGTTCCAGGACTGGTGTGTGTAGAGTGTGCCCCGTGAGCAGCAGGCACTCCCTGCATGTGCATTTTAATGTCCTTCCCTTTCTAAGCTGTATTTATACCTTAACCAATGAATAACCCACCTCTCTTTTTAACCTAATCACAGTTCTTTGTATATATATTTCTGTTGGTGATTTATAGGAATAAATTAACATCCCCCTCAAAAAGATAGAACTACTGTACATAGTTTTCGATTTATGCTTATAGATTTTTCAGTGCTTAGAACCTTGCATGTCAATGTTATCATTGTTGTTGACCCCAATTAATATTGTTCAGATCACTAATAAATGAAATAAATGAAGCTGCCGGGCGCTGGTGGCTCACGCCTGTAATCCTAGCTACTCAGGAGGCTGAGATCTGAGGATCGAGGTTCAAAGCCAGCCCGGGCAGGAGAGACCGTGAGACTCCTATCTCCAATAAACCACCAGAAAATCGGAAGTGGCGCTGTAGCTCAAGTGGTAGAGCGCTCGCCTTGAGCTGAAGAGCTGAGGGACAGCGCCCAGGCCCAGAGTTCAAGCCCCACGACAGACAAAAAAAGAAAAAAAAGAAATAAATGAAGCTTTGAGGAATGCAAGCATGTAGTGACTTCACCTTACAAGTTTTGTTATCATCACTGTATTTCCAAAGAAATGTGTAGAGAATGAACCTCTTCTCAGGTTTCTAAAAACTGAGATTTGCTTATAGATCAAGTTTATTCAGAATTGGCTACACAAACTGATCTAGTTACTTTACTATTTCTAGAGATAAAGGATATTTATATTCATTCATTTAAAAGTATTATTTATTTATTTATTTTCTTTTTGGGTCTGGTCATGGTGCCTGAACTCTTGGCCTGGGCACTGTCCCTCAGCTCTTGAGCTCAAGGCTACTCTACCACTTGAGCCACAGCACCACTTCTGGCTTTTTTCTTTTTGCTTATGTGGTGCTGAGGAATCGAACCCAGGGCCTCATGCATGTAAGGCAAGCGCTTTACCACTGAGCCACCTTCCCGGCCCCTTAAAAGTATTTTTTTTTTTTTTTGGGTCCAGTCGTGGGTCCTGAACTCTGGGCCTTGGCACTGCCCCTCAGCTCTTCAGCTCAAGGCTAGTGCCCTACCACTTGAGCCACAGCGCCACTTCCGGCTTTTTTCTTTTTGCTTATGTGGTGCTAAGGAATCGAACCCAGGGCTTCATGCATGCAAGGCAAGCGCTCTACCACTGAGCCACCTTCCCAGCCCCACTTAAAAGTATTTTTAATACATACTATTATCTAAACTTTTCTTTGCTTTAATTTGAAAATTAAGTCCTAAATTAATTATCCATGGCCATTAAATTCTTTCCCTCTCTTCTGCTCCCTTTTTCTTGTCTCTTCTCTGCTTTGGGTATTAAGTAGGCAGTTGGACTTAATCTTTCTCCCTCCAAAGAGCAGTTTTCACTTGTGACAAGGTATTGATGGTAATGATAAACACTCCTGAGAAAATGTAAATGCCATGTTTAATTTGGTCCCCTCTGTACAAAGTAAAGCTTACTGGTTACCAACTTCACATAAAAAAGAATTTCCAGCCAGGTCTGGGGCTCATACCAATAATCCTAGCTACTCAGGAGTCTGAGATCTCAGGATCACAATTCATAGCCAGTCAGGACAGGAGAGTCCATGAGATCTTATCTCCAGCTAATCAGAGGAAAAGCTGGAAGTGGTGTTGTGGCTCAACTGGTAGAGTGCTAGCCTTGAGGAAGAGAACCCTTGGGACAGTGCCTCGGCCCAGAGTTCAAGCCCCACGACTGGCAAAAAAAAAAAAAAAAAATCTGGAGAAACATCATTTTTTATCCTATTATTATATAGTAACATAAAGGCAATAATTACACAAAAAATCTGGCCCTGTTTTGCTGTTGGGAAGTTCTATTTATAATTACTTATAACAGGGGGCTGGGAAGGTGGCTCAGTGGTAGAGCGCTTGACTTGCATGCATGAGGCCCTGGGTTCGATTCCTCAGCACCACATAAAAAGAAAAAAAAGCCGGAAGTGGCGCTGTGGCTCAAGTGGTAGAGTGCTAGCCTTGAGCTGAAGAGCTGAGGGACTGTGTCCAGGCCCAGAGTTCAGGCCCCACTACCGGACCCCCCAAAAAAAAAAAACTTAGACTAATGTGTTTTTCTTACTAAAAAAGTGATGATGAGCAACTTGGTGAAAGTTCTTTTATACTTACCTTTATTTATGTGTTTTGAAGGGAAGTCGTTGCATATGATGATCCTAAAATTCCACTTTTCAACACAGATGTGGACAACTTAGAAGGGAAGCCACCACCAGTTTTTGCTTCTGGTAAGTTTATTCAGTCTTCAGTTTTCTGTCAGTTTTGAAGTGTTTTCTCATTAAAAAGAATAATAATGTTTTGTCAGACCTGGTCGTTCACTTTTGTAATTGTAGCTACTCAGGAGACAAAAATATTAGATGATCTCAATTGTAGGCCAGCCTGGACAAAATTAGACACAATCTCAAAAGCAAAATGAAAACATTAAAGGTGAGCTTGGGAATGTGGCTTAGTGGTAGAGTGCTTTGCCTAGTATATATGAAGCCCTGAATTCAATTCCTCAGTACCACAGAAACAGAAAAGGCTGGAAGTGGCACTGTGGATCAAGTGATAGAGTGCTAGCTTTGAGCAAAAGAAGCTCAGGGGCAGTGCCTAAGCCCTGAGTCCAAGCCCTAGGACTGGCAAAAAAAAAAAGTTATGGGTATAACCCAAGTGACCCTGGATTCAACACCAGTTTGGGGGAGGGAATGAAGCATTGAAGAAAAAGAAACTACTTTTTAAATCATTTCCATCCCCACTCCATGATTTCACTTTTGTGTTTGTTACCTTAGCTAGAAGTAAATAGCTAAAACATTCAGTCCCACTGATAATGAAACAGTGTTATAGATGGTAATGATAATTGGTGACTCAGTATTTTTCTAGCTTCCATAGAAGTAAAAAAGGTGAAATGAAAATTGAAGAAGTTTCTAAAAGCTTAAATTTTCTTCTCATTATTAAATTTTTCTTGTTCCGGGGCTGGGAAGGTAGCTCAGATGGTAGAGCACTTGTCTTGCATGCATGAGGCCCTGGGCTCCATTCCTCAGCACCACATAAGCAAAAAGAAAAAAAAGCCGGAAGTGGTGCTGTGGCTCAAGTGGTAGGGCCCTAGCCTTGAGCTGAAGAGCTGAAGGACAGTGCCCAGGCCCACAGTTCAAGCCCCACGACCGGACTCCCCGCCAAAAAAAAGAAATTTTTTTTTCTTGTTCCTTTTGTATTTTCGCCTTGCACTTTTATTTTGTTTATAGACATGGTCTGACTCACTATGTATTTATAAACTATCCTCAAACTCAATTCTTCCTCAGCTTTCTGAGTGCTGGGATTAGAAGCACACATAGCCATGCCTTCCATACGTTTTTCTTGTGCTCTCTGTCACCTGCCATTTTTATAAAGGCTCCTGTACAATTAGCATATTCATTCAAAAGGTTCATGCACTCTCAGGTCTTTTCTTTTCCATAGTCTCTTTTTTGAGGCCCTGGGGAAATAGAAACTTAAGGAAAGAACAGCAGTATTTTCATTTCCTGACGATTATTTCTCTCTCTCTCACTCTTTTTTTTTTTTTTGCTTGGCAGAAGGCAAATACAGGGCTCTGAAAATGGATTTTTCTCTTCCTCCTTCTACTTATGCCACCATGGCCATTCGAGAAGTGCTAAAAATGGATACCAGCATCAAGAACCAGACCCAGCTGAATACAACTTGGCTCCGCTGAGTGCTTCTCCACAGATTAGAAAATGTAGACATTTGCTTCTTGGCCTTGAGTTCGTTTTTTCTCTTAATGCAGACCCATATATGGAATTTGAATCTTTCTACTAAAAGATTGTATTTTTTTTAAGTTTTTATTAGCTTGAAGAAATAATTTGCAACATTTGTATACATACACAATCCTGAGGATCCTAAATTTAGCTCAGAGGTTATCAGTCAGAATATACTTCAGGTGCTTAAATCATTGTGCAATATCAGCATTACTGGCTTTATGATGAAGGAAGACTTTGTTGGCTGGGAAGGTGGCTTAGTGGTAGAGCACTTGCCTTGCATGCCTGAGGCCCTTGGTTCGATTCCTCAGCACCACATAAGCAAAAAAAAAAGAAAAAAGCCGTAAGTGGCGCTGTGGCTCAAGGGGTAGAGTGCTAGCTTTGAGCTGAAGAGCTGAGGGACAGCACCCAGGCCCAGAGTTCAGGTCCCACAACCAGACCCAAAAACAAAACAAACAAACTGACTTTGTTTTAAAGTAGCAGTTTCAGCTGGGCACAAGTGGCTCATGCCTGTAATCTTAGCTTCTCAAGAGGCTGAGATTTAGCCGGGCGCTGGTGGCTCACGCCTGTAATCCTAGCTACTCAGGAGGCTGAGATCTGAGGATCGCAGTTCAAAGCCAGCCCGCAGTTCAAAGCCAGCCCGGGCAGGAAAGACCGTGAGACTCTGATCTCCAATAAACCACCAGAAAACCGGAAGTGGCGCTGTAGCTCAAGTGGTAGAGCGCTCGCCTAGAGCTGAAGAGCTGAGGGACAGCGCCCAGGCCCAGAGTTCAAGCCCCACAACCGACAAAAAAAAAAAAAAAAAGAGGCTGAGGTTTGAGGATTGTGGTTCAAAGCCAGCCTGGGCAGGAAAGTCCCCAAGAAACTCTTATATTTCTTTTCTTTTTTTTTTTTTTTCTTTCTTTCTTTTTTTGGGTCCAGTTGTTGGGCTTGAACTCTGGGCCTGGGTGCTGTCCCTCAGCTCTTCAGCTCAAGGCTAGCACTCTACCACTTGAGCCACAGCGCCACCCCTGGCTTTTTTCTTATGGGGTGCTAAGGATTTGAACCCAGGGCCTCGGGCATGCAAGGCAAATGCTCTACCACTGAGCTACCTTCCCAGCCCCCCCAAGAAACTCTTATCTCCAGCTAACCACTTGAAAACCGGAGGTGGTGCAGTGGCTCAAGTGGTAGAGCTTTATTAGCCTTGAGAACATGAAGGCTCAGGGCCAATGCCCAGGCCCTAAGTTCAAGCCCTACAACAGACAATAGTAGTAATAATAATTAAAGTAGCAGTTTCAGATTTTGCTACATACTTGAAAGGAATTTTATTTATTTTTTGTTGTGAGGCTTGAACTCTGAGCCTGGGCTCTGTTCCTGAGCTCTTCAGCTTAAGGCAAGCACTCTACCACTTGAGCCACAGCATCACTTCCAGTTTTCTGATGGTTAATTGGATGGAGATAAGAGTCTCATAGACTTTCTTGGCTGGACTGTCTTTGAACCGAGATAGTCAGGTCTCAGCCTCCTGAGTCGCTAGGATTACAGGTATGAGTCACCGGCACCTAGCTGACAGCAGGAATTTTTAACACATTCATGAGTGGAGTAACAGTGCATTTTAAGAACAAGTGCTGGGGCCTCACATCTATAATGTTAACTAGGTTCAAAGCCAGCCTGGACAGACAAATTTGAGAGATCCTAATCTCTAATTAACCAGCAAAAAGCCAGAAGTGGAGGCATGAATTGAGTGGTAAAGGGCCAGCCTTGAGCAAAAAAGCCAAGCAAGACTAGGGCACAAGGCCCTGAGTCCAAGTCCCAATATCAGCATACCAAAAAAAAGCAAATGAAACAAATCTTGATTATGGATAACTATTTGAGAGTCCCTACATAAGAATGTAAATACAGCCCTCATTAAATGATACTAAGACATCTATAAACACAAAAATGATTGTCATTATGTAGTTCATTTTCCAGATTAGGGTAGACATTTGCATATTTTTTAATTTGTAGTGCCTTTTGTTTTTCTATTAGTATCTTCTAAGAGAGTTGCATTGATAGGGCTTTATTCTTAATGTAAATGTGTATAGCTGTTTTTATTGGTTAAAGACTAATTTTACTCTAGGTGCCTTTTATGTTGAGGACTGCACTGGGCTGATATTTGCTTAAAAATAAATAATGGCAGAGAAGGAAACTAAAGATTTACAAGGGCTCCTTCTGTCAGTAACATGTATCCTTGTCATCAACTGCTTAGGTATTTCCATTTCTGACATTGGCATTTTCTCTGGTGTGAAGGGTTAGAGATTCCTTCCAAAATTGTCTAACATAACCCTATCGGTTTTTATTTTCTGTCATTTCTAGAACTAAATGTAACACATATTTTTAAAACTGCTTTCTACGGATTATGTAAATAAACCAAGTAAATATCTAAGGCTGAGTGCGATTGACAATCTTGTCCCTGACTAAAGATAAGCCAAGAACTATAGAATGAAGGCTCCTCAAAATGGGTTAAGTCAAAGATGGGACTTAACTGGTGTAATGTATCAACTGTGACTGGTGTGTAGATGGAATTTAGGGTTATGCCTCCTATTGTGTCGCTCCATAGCCTTCTAGTAAACTTGCTAGAGTTCTAGAGCTCCCAGACCAGGAACACAACAGAGTATATGACATGTCTCCTGGATCTGACAGTGGAAACACTGTTGAGAACAAGTAGTTCATTCAGCCCCCCCCTTTTTTTTATGACCTCCACTACATGGCAAAGGCTACAGAAGGATTGAAAATACAGTAACTTATCCTTTTCTCTGGCTAGTTTCTAAGACTATTGTCCTACAAGGGCCCAATTTATGAAATATGTAATCATTTTGTCTGTACTTTCAGTAGTTCTTTTGCTTCTTTAGACCCATAAGTGAAGACCTAAGTCTTTTAGTACAAATATATAGTTTTGCATTTCTTTTCATTACTTTAGATGAGGATAAATTTATGTTTTCTCTCTTGGGAAATACTTAGGGCATTACATGGTGAGGTGATTTTCCTGTCTTCATTAGCCGATTTTTGCCAATATATGCATATTTTTAAAACACCAATGGAAAAATGACTAGACGTGGTTTATTTGAGCCTGAACATGTCATCCAACTCTAGGGACTTAATGTGAAATAAATCATCACTTTAGCATAAAAGTTATCAAAGTGAAGAGATTTCTCTTAAGTAGATTTACAAAATCTGAAAGCAACCTTATTTTCAACATGTTTTCCTAGCCATGTGTCAGTGACTCATGCCTGAAATCCTAGCTACTCAGGAGGCTGAGATTTGAGGATTGTGGTTCTGCCAGCCTTGCTTATGTGGTGCTGAGGAATCGAACCCAGGGCCTCAGGCATGCAAGGCAAGTGCTCTTCCACTGAGCCATCTTCCCAGCCCCATAATGCCCAGTTTTTATTGATTGAGTAGGGAGTCTTGAGCTTTTTCCTTGGACTGGCATAGAACTACAATCTTCCAGTTGGATGCCAGTGGCTCACACTAGTCCTAGCTACTCAGGAGGCTGAGGTCTGAGGATCACAGTTCAAAGCCAGCCCAGGTAGAAAAGTCCGTGAGACTCTGATCTCCAATAAGTCATTAAAAAACTGGAAGTGGCATTGTGGCTCTGTAGAGCGCCCACCTTGAGCTGAAGAGTTCAGGGACAGCGCCCAGGCCCAGAGTTCAAGCCCCATGACCAACACCCCCCCCCCAAAAAAAAAAGGAACTACAGTCTTCCTAATCTCCAACTCCTGAGTAGGTAGGGTTTACAGGTATGAGCTGGCTGCCAATTTGAATTCAAAGTATACAGAGGAGGACCATGGACCAGGCCATCCTAGGGATACAAGACCCTGTTCAAGAAATTGGAAACAAAAAGGCCTGTGGCAAGTATCAAGTGGTAGAGTCCCTGCATGGCAAGTACAAGGCCTTCAGCTCAACCTGAGGATCCCCTCTCCCTGGCCTCAGAAAAGTACCTGTGATACAGAAGGGGATAGGTAAATGTTATAACTATAATGAGGTATATATGTTTTTTGAGATAGTCTCAATATATAGTCGAGGATGGGCTCCAGCTCTCCCTAGAACTGGGATTACAGACATAAACCACTGTGCCTTGCCTAATGTGTGCTTTTTTTGATTAAACCTTTTTTATTTATTTGTTTGAGATATAAGAGGTCAATACACAGTAGAGGAATTACCAAGCTGAGTGTGCTCAAGTTGAAGTGTGTGCTTATATAGCAAAGAATAACTGGCTTTTCTTTGTTTAATGAAATAGATTTCTTAGTCTGTGAAGTTACATTTCTCTAGGATGAACTTCTGCATTTGGAGTCATAAACCCTTTGGAAAATCAGGCTCATCTGTAATTTCAGCACTTAGCTATGTCGAAGAAAAGAGAACGACAAAAATTGTCTGGAAGCTTGCTAATGAAGAGGCTAGGTAAAAGAAACCCAATGAAGTAATAAGATAGTGACAAATCATGAACTGGACAAATCATTAAGTGGTCTATCAAAAAAGTGGGAGTAGTTTTTCACAAAACAGAGAAAGAAAGTTTGTAAAGAATGTCGTTCTTTTTTTTGTTTGTTTGCTTATTTTTGGGGTCCGGTTGTGGTGCCTGAACTCTTGGCCTGGGCACTGTCCCTCAGCTCTTCAGCTCAAGGCTAGCACTCTATCACTTGAGCCACAGCGCCACTTCGGCTTTTTTCTTAGTTGGTGCTGAGGAATCGAACCCAGGGCCTCATGCATGCAAAGCAATCACTCTACCACTGAGCCACCTTCCCAGCCCCAAGAATGTAGTTCTTAGGGCTGATGACAACTCATTGTTGCTTGCCTAGCATATATGAGCCCTGGTTTCAGTCCCCAGCAAAAAATTAAGCCCCACACCAATGGCTCACACCTATAATCCTAGCTACTCAGGAGGCTGAGATCTCAGGATCACAGTTCAAATCTAGCCCAGACAGGAAAGTCTGTGAAGACTAATATCCAATTAATTTTTTTTTTTTTTTGGTCTGTCATGGGGCTTGAACTCTGGGCCTGGGCACTGTCCCTCAGCTCTTCGGCTCAAGGAAAGCGCTTTACCACTTGAGCCACAGTTCAACTTCCAG